CCAATTTTTTAAAAAATAGCAGGTCTTTCCACAAAAAGAAAAACTCCTTAAAAAACACTCGCCAATACAAAACTCCGGGGAAGGGTTCCCCCCTCCCCCCCCCCCCCCCCCCCCCGCCCCCCACCTTCCTTTTACCACGGTGGGGGGATGATATGCGTGTACGTCCAAGGGTTAAAGAAACAATGAAAAATAACAAAACAACTAATAAATAAAGTGGTAAAAATACTGTTCATAAGTGTCTCTGTACCGTTAACATGCCAGAAGAGTTCTAAAGGTAGAGGCACATAAGTCTTCAGCTGTACTCTATTGCGCCTTTGCTTAGACCCATCAGCTGTCTTAACATTGTAGGACCACGGCCCACTCGCCTCTTCCTTCACCGGTGGTGGAGTCCATGTCTTGGTTTTTTTGCTGGAACACGACTATCTGCTCGTCTTGATTCAGGTTTCGAAGTTCGCGCTGTTGGAGGCCTGTGACGTCACCAACAATGGTCGCTATCTTACCCGACTTTAACCTGGAACTTGTCAGGGTTGAACCGTAAGTTATTATCCCGTGCTGTGTCAGGGACGTTGAGTATGTGCTGATCATGCTCTTGTTCACTTTTGCCATAAATGAAAGGATCATCTGCAATTCCACTCAGACCATCAAGCTTTCCGAATACAGTATCCGTTCACTCTTGGGACACATCTCTGTTGTAGGTAAGTCCAAATGGTAGCCTTCTCCATCTGTACTTTGTCCATGGCGTCCTGAAGGTGCAGAGTTTGTTGCTTTCGTCGTCAAGTTTTACTTGCCAAAACCCGCTCCGGCCGTCAACGATGCTAAAATGGGAGGCACCGCTGACTTTTGGTATGGCAGCATCTATGGCTCTCACATATTTGGGGTTGCGTTGAATTCCTTTGTTCAGGTCACGGGGGTGGTCCAGGCAAAGGCGAATTATGCCATTTAGCTTTCTTGTAATCGCAGTAGAGTAAACCTAACCCGTGGTGTGTACTCATTGTGCACTTGTTCAGGGATATGTACTTGCCGAAGTCGTTGGTATCGAGGCACCTTGCAATTGGACTGGGACTTGCCCCGGACGGTGTTGTACTGGAGAACTTTGTTCGGGTTGGTTTGTATGTGGTATGGGTGACCTGGAAAGTATCCAACACAGGTAAACACATCTTGATATTCGTTCAGGAGATATATTTTTTTTCAATTGAAAACGGTGCGGTTTGTCACGTACATCACACAGTTCCAAGCACTTAGAGGCAGGTTTAGCTTTATTGTGCTCGACCGGATAGTTGGCTTTCTTCACAAGGATTCTCAGTTTTGCAATAAATTCTTTCAGAGAGAAGGCACCTTGTCGAAGGTTGTGAAGCTCCCACCCTGCTATTAACTGATTGGAGTGTGGCTTGCCAAAATTTTCGAATCTCATCCAGTAATTGGCCAGCTATTTTTGTTCTTCCGCGAACATGTTCCAGCTGTTGAACGGTTCGATTCTGTGTTCTCCCGACCAGCATAATAGATGCTTGCATTTGATTTCTTCTTCAACTAATTCGCTATCGGCCCGTGGGTAAATATGTCGATAACTCCAGCCTATTGAAGGCCCCTTGTCGATGAATGAGGGACTCATTATTTTGTTTGTTGTGTCACTCACGCGTTCCTTCACTGAAGTTGGCAGACTTGCACCAGTCTCAGATTAGATTGTCGTCCATATAAACAGAGAGTTTTCATTTTAATATCTTCTTAGTTTTTTTCTAATCCCGCTTCTGACACCATGAAAATATACGCATTAGGTCAAAACACTTGTTTTTAATAATTCTCCGACTCTAAAATACTGGCTCCATCGTAGAGAAACAGAGTACGCATTACGCATGCGCAAGGTTGATTATGCAACATCCCTGTACACCACAAAAATCAAAGTTGTGTTAGCAGTGTGTCAGAGAGAATAAGAACTTCTTTAAGAGTTTGACAGCTGTATTCGAGCTTTAACTGATCTGTACCTTCACAGTTGCGTCCATCTCCTCTGTATCCGTCTTTGCAATTGCATGTAAAGTACCCAGCAGTGTTTTTACAGGTGGCTTTCGAGTGACAGTCATGGCCACCATCATTGCACTCATCAATATCTGAAAGAAAAAGGTAAAGGCTTTCACCTAAGAGCCCAACTTCAATTTCACAAAGAGACCAAAGAAAGCCGCAAAGAATTTTGACAATTTGTCTTTCGTTATTATTTCCTGCATTCGAGCTTTAACTGATCTGTACCTTCACAGTTGCGTCCATCTCCTCTGTATCCGTCTTTGCAATTGCATGTAAAGTACCCAGCGGTGTTTTTACAGGTGGCATTGGAGTGACAGTCATGGCTACCATCATTGCACTCATCAACATCTGAAAGAAAAAGGTAACATAGACTTTCACCTAAGAGCCCAACTTCAATTTCACAAAGAGACCAAAGAAAGCCGCAAAGAATTTTGACAATTTGTCTTTCGTTATTTTTTCCTGCCTTGGCAAGGCAATGCATTGTTACGGCCCGGCAAAATTGTCCTTATCAGTGTCCAGTTGCTAGATTTTCTCAATAATTGTTGTTTGTTTCCTTGATAATAATCATTAAATAACATCCGCAGCCTTTAATCTTAGATCGTGTTTTTAATTCTTTAAGGTGACTCCCTAGCCTTTCAACGAGCACTCTTTAATTTTGTTGTGTTGGCAATTTCAACAACGAACAAAATGCTGTGGGAGCATATATTTGAGCGTAAAAATGTGTCTATCCTCATCGATAAAGATCCTTTTCGCCTTGTCTTAAGAATACTTAAGGTATTTAAATTGATTCAAAAGTATGTGGCCAAGCTCGAAAAAATATGTCTCGGCTTGCTTAACCTTCGAAATACAAGACGATTGTTTATGTAACCTCAGCATGTTGAACTTCGAAAAGAGAACGGGTTTTTTCTTACCGATGCGTGTTTCTCCTATCTAGTTTTTCCCGGAGCCGATTTATGCCCAATTTAAGGATTTTATTGATACCCGTTTGCTCCCTGTAAAGGATATACGGACAAAAAAAAAAAACGGTTGTAATAAAAGCCATTAAATGGCAAAACGAATTTGTCCGGGGACCACAGAAGAAAGAGGAAATTAAGCTTAGAACAGTTTAAGAAACGAAAGCCTTATCTCATTTATTTAAATCGAGCGTGAAACATCGCAAGCTCACCCTTTCAATTGGCGGAAGAAGCGAGCCGCGAGAGAACGCGCGGGCAAGAGTGGAGGAAAAGTGGGCTCTCCCTAGGCCACCATGCAACGTTCCCTGGGCTCTTCGTTGATGAGCCCTGAGCATTTCTGCGTCTGCTTTTGGCGTGCTGCTGGCGCATGACTTCCCTGCATATCACCCCAGAAAAAGTTTTTTCTGAACTCTTTCGGACTGGACTTTTCCAGACAATGAGAGAGGGGGGTTCATCATATCCAACCAATCCTCGCCTCTCTAGCATACGGGCCTGAGGGTCCGGTTGCATAAAACGCCCGTAACAACTACGGGTACGCGTACTTGCACTCGTAACTTAAGTCAGTTGTATTATATTACTTAAGTGGTCCACTAAGGGAATTCACTTAAGTGGTTGCACTTACGATTTTTGTAAGTGTTCACTAAAAGTGTCGTTTTATATGCAACAGAAATTGCGGGTGTTGCATTAAACCTTTTTTACGGGAAAAATAGCACGTAAATTTACGGGACCTATGTAGGTCCCGTATCGTTACTGTTTCTACTAAACTTAACGAGATCGTTTACTGAGAAGTGAAAAAAAGTATTTTTCTTCACGTTATTCTTTCTAATGCGCTTTGTTAACCTCTGATGTACACTTTAAAGCCGACGTTGTGAAAAAAGAAGAAGAACTATCATTTTCAGTTGATATTGAAGAAAAATAACGTCTGCATGCAAATTTCATTTTTTTGAGAGGCTTATAAAAGTATTCGAAACGACTTAAGACTCCCTTTACACTCACCGATGGTTAGCTTTAAAAAAAAAGAGTGGGTCATTAATGAAGTACTATATCAAAGTTACGTGTGCCTTTAAGTGAGCCCGTAAGTTACCACTTAAAACAGAAACTTACGAGAGTGCTAAGTGCGTTCCATGCAACACCCGTAAGTGTACCCATAAGGGATTCGTAGGTTTTATGCAACCGTGCCCTAGTGAAATATCACGTTAAATATTAGCAATGACAAGATGCATTCTTACCATAACAACCATACAGCTCTAGTCTCACTGATATGTGGTTGTGCCATTTTGTCGGCTTCAAACGAATGTAACGACTCGTAATATGCTTGGTCAGGTTATGACGAACAGCAGTGTTACGGTCACTGTTTCCAGCAAATACCTGCAAATAAATAAGATCCATGATATCAGAGAGAGGTTCATTATTCTAGTGGTATATATTATATTTGTGGGAATTCAGCTAAAGGAATCCGGAATCCCGCTAACGATTGGAATTCGGAATCCAAGTTCCGCTAACAAAAAGTCCGCAGTTGAGTACCTGGAATCCGGAATCCCCAACTTGGAATCCAGAATCCAAGACTCTCTTAGATTACCGTACGGAAGGTTGAAGTGTTTATATTAATGGCTGCCTTCCTTGAATTCTCTGAATAAAACCTTTTTTAGCGTTGTTATAGTTTCTGCCTGCATTATAATTAGCTGGTTTTGGAAAACGTTGGCGGTGATTTTTCCATTTTGGAAGTGTACTTTGTATTTTCAACCAGCATAGAAAACAGATGACAAGTGCCCCTTATTAATTACTTGTCAACACATTGCAAAATTAACTAAAACTTTAGAAATAGGTCGTATTGCCCACCAAAATGGTTTAAGGCTATTTGTCAAGGTTAACTTAATGTTCCTTTTTCTTGTATTAAGCTGGTAGCCAAACCCTTAACCACTTGGATTGTATCAGAGGCGTAAAAGCGTTGCTGTTGTGTAAACTGTGCTTTTGCGTTATAACGTTCGGTACACGGTAAGATTTCTAAGAAGCTCCCACACCTCTTTTAAGCATTGTCTCTAAAATAATTATCTAAAATAAGCCCCTCTCTCATTTGCGTACGGTACGAAGACAGCAAGTACTATTGTTATTTTCGTTAATACCCGTATGAAATGAATTAAATTTATTATGGTTGCCACTTCTGACCAGTTTTTGGTACCTACTCCCACCCCCGTCCCGCACCTAACACCAACCAGACTAGAGGTTCAGCTTGTTGAATTAATTTTAAAGAGAAATGGTAAAAAATATACTAGGGTACATTTAAAAGCATCTTCTTATATCTGGATTTTGACAGAGTTAATCCATGACCCCAGTGCTAAGGAAAAATAAAAAAAGGAGTTCTTACCTTCGCCATTGTCTGTCCTCCTTCTTTGTAGTTTTTGAAGTTTGAATTTTGGTAACTACTGTACAGTAGATTGTATTCTATGACCCACCAGTCATAGTCATCTCGTCCTTGGGTAGCTAAACCGGTTACTCTGGTAAAATTACTAACCAGGTCAACCTGGAGCCATGGATTAACGTCATTTTCGGCTGCTGACCAAGCGCCCCCTCTGACTCCGTCTGCTTTGAACTGCAGTCTGCCCTGGTGGGTATAGTGGGTGGCATCCCACTGATCGGCGTAATAGGTAGTAGCAACCCGGCACTGGTCCGCATGATGACTGGTATTCCACTCAGAAGAGGCACTTATCTGTCCATCAGAAATGTTGCCGCTTTCCATACCCAGGGCATATTGGCATTCTAAAGTTTTCACAGAAGGGCAAGTTCCATGAATACAATGAAGACTCAGCAAAATATATCCTATGTACATTCAAGTGTCAATAATAGATCTCGATAGCCGTCGAGGAATATTTTTTACTAATAGCAAGAGAAAAAGATGTCCTAACACAAAATCTGTGACATTAGCCTTGTTCTACTGTTAGAGGGTCTGAATTGTGGTCATTCAGATGGTCACAAACTATTTTCTCAGCTCTTTAATGCCTTTAACACGTAAAACCAGGGCAATGCGGAATCACTCGCTCTGAACAGCGGTAATTTAGATAACAAAAAAAAAATGTGCTTTACTCGCGGAAGTTGTGAAGAATCTCTATGATCAGAGCCCAAGTGCTGTCTCATTTTGAGCATGAAACGTTCGCTGCGCCTTGCAGTATTCATATACCCGAGATTTTGGATTGATGGCAAAGTATTTATTTAGGTATTTATTTTTGCTATTTATCCTGGGAGACATTAGCATCTCAGTAGTATTGCTATCTTTCAATTCAAGAATAAATAAAGATTATTGATTGATTTGATCTATATTGTAGTCCTCGAAAAGGGAAGCGAAGTGTTTCACGCACATGAAGTCCTATTATCCTGCTCCAAGGACAAGCGGCTTGGATTTGCAAGTTGTAGGTTCATGCGGCGTCTTCTGTTTGCACCAGTCGGCACTATGACTGATACGTACAGAAACGAAGATAAGTATGAGTAATAGTCATTTTAGGCAAAGGACTTTTCCTACTCATACAGCTGAGGACAGAACAGATCAGAAACTCTATCACCATCAGTGTCAACCAAACTGTACGAAAGAATCCCTCGCAACTGATCATGGGGGAAATCCAGCAACATACAACCCCAGTGAAGTAGTAGCCTTTCACCGGACTCTGCTCCTCAGCGACTGAAACTCCAAACCAAAAAAAAAAAAACTGCATCACCAGAAGAATCGAACTACAAAGGACCGCCGAGGGAATCACTCGCCAAAAAAGAGGGGATCGAAATACGCTTATCACGGTTAATCAAATTTAAACCAACCAATTATATCAAGGTATTGTGCTATGCTTTATAAGGTTACGGGTGTATCCAGTGGACCTCATCTCCAGGAATACTAACAATGCAATATGCACTCGAAACGTTGCGTTCTTATTTTCTTGAACCTTTTAAAGTGAAGATCGCAGAACAATTAATAACTTAGCCTGCGAAAACAGCCGTTTGTCCTCGCTCATCGCCGCTTGGGATGTTTCGCGAGGTAGAACTTCTGCGACTCAGCGACAGAAATTCTATACTGATGACGTAAAATCTGTCCGGAATTCGGTCNAAAAAAAAAAAAACTGCATCACCAGAAGTATCGTACTACAAAGGACCGCCGAGGGAATCACTCGCCAAAAAAGAGGGGATCGAAATACGCTTATCACGGTTAATCAAATTTAAACCAACCAATTATATCAAGGTATTGTGCTATGCTTTATAAGGTTACGGGTGTATCCAGTGGACCTCATCTCCAGGAATACTAACAATGCAATATGCACTCGAAACGTTGCGTTCTTATTTTCTTGAACCTTTTAAAGTGAAGATCGCAGAACAATTAATAACTTAGCCTGCGAAAACAGCCGTTTGTCCTCGCTCATCGCCGCTTGGGATGTTTCGCGAGGTAGAACTTCTGCGACTCAGCGACAGAAATTCTATACTGATGACGTAAAATCTGTCCGGAATTCGGTCAGAAGCGCTGATTGGACGACGGAGTAGTTACATTGTTTTAACTATTGTTTCCGAATGAAAGACAAAAGATAAGAGGCCACAAGGGTCAAATGTAAACGCGATGAATCTATAATAACACATTCAATATTTGTGGAATATATTCTTCTCTAGAAGAAGAATTTGAGTTTTTCTGGAGCTCGACCGCAGATGAACACAACGCTTTACCAAAATCGACGAGGAGAAACGTAGAATTGAACAAATTTGCATTTGGAACCCCATGACTACAGGATTTATTATATAAACATTGATTTACGTCATCAGTATGGAATTTCTGTCGCTGAGTCGCAGACGTTCCTCCTGGCCAAACGCCCACAGCGGCGAGGAGCGAGGAGGAACGGCTGTTTTCGCAGGCTATTAATAACTTCCTTATTACGCATGTTTATTAGCTTGACTGTTTAATGAGAACAAGTTTTTTTGGTATCCTTTTTGTATTGATAACTTAAAAATAGCTTAAAACTGGTAGTAGTAACAACTGACAACTGATAATTTGCTTATTTTTTAACTGACAACTGACATTTAGCCCTTCTCCCTCCATCCAGAGTCTCCTAAGTTGATGAGGGTGCATGGAGAACTGGAGCTGCAGTGTCTCAGCCAAACGTGTTGGGACACTTAACTGTCGTCTTGCCCTCCCTATGTTGGTGTGCAAGATTTGGTGAGTTAACTGCTATTAAAAAACATTGGGAGGACGAGGACACGGACCAGAAGTAAAAAAAGCAGCCTTGGCTGGATGTGTCCGAACTATTTTTGTCCGGGACTGTAGCTTATAGTCAGGAGACCAATCCCAGTGGATATACCTAAAAAAATTATAGCCACATAACAAGTCTGACACTTTTAATACTTTCCTCCAAGAGGCTCAACAGTAAGTTATAAGCTACAACCAGTTGCAGAAGTACTTGAGACACTGTACCGTATTTTGGCATAAATGGCCTGTCCATGATGTTGTGCTTGTGATCCCCCCTCCACCCCTTATCAAAGTTGCTAGCAATACAAGACCATGCTCAAATTAAACTTGGAGGAACAACTTTGAATGGGAAGGAGGAGAGAGGACAGTATTATATCTTACAGACCTGTGACCAGCAGCGATTAGAAACAAGAAAGGTCGTTTTTTCGTGGGGAGTGTCTCAACATCTTTGCAACTGGTTGTAGTTCCATTTTATATGTTTTTGTGTCTTTCATCAGGGTTCCGGGAAAGATGAGGCGTGTCTTGTTATGAAGACATGTGAAATAAAAATTATCCTTTTACTAACCTTTACACTGGCAATCTTTACCATGTCGAGTAAACCCACGAAAGCACTTACAGCGGAATGATCCAGGTGTATTGATACATTCCATGTTTGATTTATGACTGCACCGCCGTGGATCATCGGATTGGCATTCATCAACATCTCGTGAGAAATAATAAAACAGTTTTTAAGAACAGTTTCAAAGAATATTAAGAAAAGGGATTGTTTATTGTAAGAAATTACCAACCACTTTGTTTTTAATCTCGATGCTTACCCTTACATGTACCTCCAACTTTTTCAAACCCGGTTTTACAGTCACACCGGAACGAACCACCCTCGTTCTTACATTCTGAGTTTTCGTCTGACAGTGAAGGAAAAAAACAAATTAAGGCTGCAGTGTTGCTAATAGGGAGCTTACGAAACGACGACGCCGACGGCAACGACGACGCTACAAAACAATAGGTTTAGTGTTCAAAAACAATGGCTTTGCACGCTCTGCACGTGCGTTTTACATTGTGGTACATTTCTTTCCCGTCATCCCCTAAATGACGACTTGAAATGACCAAAGTCAAGGTTCTGGGGAGGACGTTAGCACATGACGATGGATTTTCAGTTGTCTCTCTGCGCTTCTAACCCACTCATACCAGTTTAATTCCTCGACAGGTACTACACATTTTTAACGAGAAACGACATGAAATAGCTTCGTTGTGATATGAATAACGTGAACTTGTATTTTTAAATGAAGTCCTCGTAGCCGTCGTCGTCCTCGTTTCGTAAGCTCCCTAATATGTTATAACGTTTGTTTCCAACTTGGCATGAGCCATGCAAGAAGCACATTACTACCCATTTTTCTAAGCTTTCACCCTCAACTTAGAATTCTTTTCAACCCTTCTTTGGTCATCGAACGTTACCTTTGTCGACTCCGTGTGATTAGTTGTAAAGCTGCTCCTTTAACGGAAAATTAGCCGACTTCGCTGTAGTTGTTAATGCACCTAACAACAAAGCTTCCTCCATTAGGATTCTAATATTAAAACTGTTTGCCAGTATTAAGTGCGAGAGAGAATACTGCAACTGTGGCATTTTTTTTTTCTTTTACTGGTTTCAGCCTGAGAGCTGAAATCATTCTGTGATACTTATTTTGATTCAACTATTATTCATAAATAAATGAGGAAATTCATGCTAATATATAAATAAATAAATAAAAAAATAAACAAATAAATGAAATAAAATAAAAAAGAGTGGTTTTCCACCTTTAAGAAACTCAAAATTAAATTTCCCTAATTTGAAATTTTGAATGCAATTTAGAAATTACGGTAGAGTAATGTTAGGCCAAGATAATTCACACATTTTTCTCTTGCTCTTAGCTAATACCTTGTTGACAGTTATGGATACCTTCTTCGCATTCATCAATATCTGCAATTATTCAAGGAGATAAAGTTGAACGCTATTACGGTGAATACCACAACAGTGCAATAATTCAATAGCTAGGGTGACCGGACTTTTTTTCATGTGTCTATGACAATTTTAACTATCGCGTAAGCCATGAAAAAACATTCAGCCGACAGTTATTAAAAGTTCTTCAATGAAAACAACAATTCTTGTTTTGAAGCGCCCGTTAGCAGTAAAAGATCTGATAGCTTGCAACAGCGATTGAAGCTGCCAGTTTTTAATAAATTAACAATCTTACTCGGAGCCCCCGGAAAAAATCCCTCGATCGAACTAAAAGATCAAAGTTAAGGTGTTTGAAACATGCAGAAAACGTCTACACTGTGAGCCATCTCTGAGAAAACAGCTGATATGTTTAACCCTGCGATCCGTTGAATTCTGCCAGTAGAAATGGCATTAAAAACTGAAAAATGGCACAGCGAAATTCGACTGACCACGCCCTTTGCACCAAACCCGACCACCACCCAGGACCCTCAATAACCTCAACGTCGCTTATTTTTGATTCACCGGGTATCCCACGACACTGCTTACTTGACTGACGGCTTTAGACAAAAACAAACACGCAGTTTTTGCTTGGGGAAACAGATTTCCCAAACAATGAGTTATTTATTGTCACCTTACCTTCACATTGATCAGTGGCACGTCCTCTATGTTTGTATCCATCACGGCAGACACATCTGTAGCGTTTGTCCGTGAATCCCACCTGAAACAAATTGTTCTCTCCAGGGCAAGGATCTCCGTTCATTTTACAAACATTCTGAACGAAAGCCATTTTTTTTTAATATTATGTTTCGGTGATTTTACTTTTATATTATTATTGTCATTAGCAGTAGCAGTAGCAGTAGCAGTAGCAGCAGCAGCAGCAGCAGCAGCAGTAGTAGTAGTAGTAGTAGTAGTAGTACTAGTAGTAGTAGTAGTACTAGTAGTAGTAGTAGTAGTAGTAGTAGTAGTAGTAGTAGTAGTAGTAGTAGTAGTAGTAGTAGTAGTAGTAGTAGTAGTAGTAGTAGTAGTAGTAGTA